ATATACAATTGTTATTGTGTAGTGTGTGACAGTTTGTGCTTTAAAAGTATTATAAGCTTGGTTTAACAAGGAACCGAAGTCAGGATTCCGGCACTACAAAAGCACAGCGCTATTCTGTCAGAACACTAGACTTCATTCCCCTGAACTACCTTGTAATTTTTATCAGTTTCCAAAAATCAAAGCAAAAATATAAGACATGAAGTTTAAAAGTAAAGAAGACGCACTGGTTGCTTACAATTTCAAGATTTATGAGGTGTCTAAAAGAAGGGTGAATATTCAAAGTTTTTGGATATATGCAAAAGTCTAAGTGCAAATTAAATACTTTGAAAAGGTCGATATTAGTAATGAAGATTAAAACATTAAAATTTTTGAGTAACAAGTTTCGTTCTGCAGAGCTTTATGTCATTTTATGCTGGCTGCAATACAAGCCGCACCCACTTTGTTACATCAAACACACATCAAAATGTTATGACGCCATTCCATTTTAGACCTTAATTATTATCCTTCTATGCCTGACTATTCACCGAACATAAATATAAATATGGAATTTGTAAAAATATGAATTTAGTATATACTCAAAACATAAATAATACTTTACCTTCCAATAAGCGCACCTACATTGCTTAATATAATAAACGAAGCAACACAACCCAGGATAGTTCCCACCAATATGCTTCCAATAGCATCTGGCAATGGATTGCCAGTATATTGGGAAATGGCCATGCAACTAGCTGCCACCACAACTCCGGCTACAGCGGCAGTATCTTCTAGTAACACTACGTTTACTGAAGGATCAGAGCTGCGCATCACTGAAATAACGAATGTTATGTTGGTACATATTAACTTCTTCATCATCCTGGTAGACTATTTAATAATAAGACATAGATTTTTTTAATTGTTACATCTGAGTGTATGGCTGTACAGTGGCGAAGCCTCCGTAGAAGCCGAAAAGCCGGGCTTGCACTATCAAACTGCTCAATCAATAATATCAATTATATTCAACCAAATCTAAGAAATACCTTTAGACGCTTCACATTAATCATTCCGCAATAACTTCGCACAAGCGTACTCACACGATTTAAAATAAACTTTTACCTAAATCCGAAGAATTATTAATTTAATGACTTCTTAAATTTACGCGAACACTACACATTGAATAAACTAAATTTACGGATTTTATCGCGTTTATTTCACTACTTTTACTTATTTTTTAATTCCCGACGTTTCGGGTGCTTTACAGCACCCATGATCACGGGGGGGGGACTGAGATGTTTGACGTCCCAATGTCATAGTTAGTCCGGCTACTTTCATTTTTGAATATTACTTTTTAGTCCGATTTACGCAAAACGAGCTTATAGTATCATGAAGTCTTGCAGTGGTATGCTTAGGTTTGGGTATAATTTTGTTAATTATAGGATCCCAAGCAGGTGGTAGCACCCATCCATCTTCTCTATTGAAATTTGGATGTTTTTTTAATTTCAATAGCCTCGCGTATCATCCTTGGTAGGAATCGGTATTCTTTTGCGAGGATTTGTGGTTTATCTAATCGAATGTAATGGTGGGGACGATCTTGAACATGTTCGCAGACTGATCTGACTGACTGTCGGACCAAAAATTAATATTCAAAAACTGAAAGTAGCCGGACTAACTATGACATTGGGACGTCAAACATCTCAGACGTCGGGAAGTAAAAGTAGTGAAATAAACGCGATAAAATCCGTAAATTTAGTTTTATTCAATTATTAATCTATCTATATTTCATTACATCGTGGATAGTTTTTTATTACTAATTTAAATTTGAATCTGTCAAACAAAGCAAGATATTAAAAAATATTCAGTATCACCTTTTTTTACTTGACGTCCTTTCAATAATACGTCGCTATGTACTCGACTACCGTAGTGTTTGGTTGATTAAAATTCATTGTTTTGCGAATAATCGGCAAAAATATTCAAATAATCGGTAAAAAATTTCAAATAATCGAATCATTATTTTTTTAATGTGTGATTTGTTTAATTAATTTGTTATTTTTAAAATTCCTTAAATTACATGAATCATGAACAAAACAGGTTGTTTTTTACTTTGCCAACGTAAATTTGTGTAAGCAAAAAAACTCATATGCAAGGCCGCGCTGAAAAAACCACTACGTAATTTCAATCTCCCGCTATTTCGGGAGCTTACTGAGCGTATTTGTGTGATTTTGTGTTCGGCGTCTTATTTTGTTACTCGGCTTTAACTTTTTGGACTGTTTCTTCTATATTCGTTGACGCATGTGCCCATAACACAAAGGATGATTGCATAAAAGTGGAATAAAAAACAAAAAAAAAAATTGATTATGGATGACTTTGAAACAGACATTTATTTTAACCGCAGTATTGAAAATCAAATAATAATTAATCTAAACAACGACAGCTCAATCTAAACAAGTAGAACTGTACTGTGTTACTGAAAGTGATTGAATAAATTTGTTTTTAATCTAGTTTCAATCTTAAATTTTTATAGCTGTGCCTCTAGAAATAAGCAGTAACAACAAAACGAAGAAACTGATAAATCTTGTGTTTTGAATTATCTGTTTTTAATTTATTCTGGTATTATTCAAACCAAACTGTAAATGATTACCAACTCTAAATAACCGATATCGATTTTTTTAAGAATCGAATATTGTACGTTCCCATTTTTTGGTTGGCATGCTTGGTGCAATAAGTCTGACAGCTGTCAAAATGTATTTCTTAGATTTGGTTGACTATAATAAAATAACTCATAAACTGTTTCAAATTTCCCGCGCTCTGCTCTGTTCTACACAGGTGAATATCTTGCCCAGAGAAGTACCACACTCGCATAGAATACCAGCGTGAAACAACAGCACGTTTCGTATGATGAGTGATAAGCATCGGAGACACTTTTTACTGGTAACGAGGGAAAATTCTATCTTAGACCTCAGGGTAGGAGGAATAGATTTGTCTATGGACTACAGTTGACGGCAGTGACAGTGAAGACTCGCGATCCGCACAGCGCAGAATTATAGTGCAAAAGTTAGTGTACACTACAGGTACACTCTCTATTCCCTTGTTCTCATAGTCCACAATCCGATAAGATGGTTACGCTTATACCCGCCATTTATCATAGGCATGAAGAACTTTCTGACATTTTTATATTTGGAATGAGTCTTGAGAGTAAAATAGCATCATAATGCTGCTGTGTTCGAATGGTGAGTTTTTATATAGGATAGAGTAACAAACGAACACACAGTCCACCTGAGTGTGGTAAGTGATTACTGTGGCCCATAGACATCTGTAGTCATTCTTACAATCAAAATGCAGATGCGTTGCCACCCGTCAGGACTAAGATGGAATGTCTCGTTTTCAGTAAAAAGGATCTCCGGTTTTCTACACTCACTATACGAAACACAGCAGCATTAAGCTACTGTTTTATGCTAGTATTCTACGAGAGCGTGGTCCTTCCCCGGTCGAGCCGACCCAATCGCGTTACAACTATACTACTGATATAACTGCAGCATGGATCTACCGCGTATAAGAATGTGACGAAAATGACAATCTTTTAACTGGAATTGAGGCATTCTACGAGTATTTTAGTCCTCATAGTTGTGTCTAATGGACCGCGGCATAAATTACCATCAGGTGGATTGAGCAATCGCTTGTCACCCTTACTTGTAAGAATAAAATCCCTTGATTGATTCTTAATATAACATGGGACGAGATGAGAGGGTGGAGCTTTTAAGCCGTCATCATGAGAGAGGCCAAAGTACAAAAGCAAAAGCCAAAGGCTGAAAGTACAGAATTGATGAAATTTTAATAAATAACTGAAATGAAATTTTATAAACATTATAAAAAGTTTACCGTATTCCGTTAAGGGCATGTTAGCTTCCTTTGCACCCTTTCTAATTGCACTTAAAGCCACCATTAAAGTAGCACCTTCTGATACAACTGCTCCACCAAGAACAAAATAAGCCTGCAAATCAAATGTATATATTATTATTTAAGTACCCGGTTGACCGAGCTTTGCTCCGTATTTTTCGCTCGGTTTTTTTTTAATTCGTGTGTTTTGGAAATTATATTTAGATACAAATTACATACTGACAATATACGAATAATATTTTTGGATCTTAGCAACATAATAGAAAAAACTGAACTGGTTATTTGAATAAAAAATCATGAGTGCAATTAGTTTAATTTAAATTTTCGTATTTAAAAAATACTAAAAAAAGGGGCTCGAAAAAAATAGATATTCTCAAAAATGAAAGGAATTTGAAAAAAAGTCGGTCGGTCGGTCTGGGCTCGAACCATGGTATTACGATTTTGTGACCGTCCAATATACCAATTAAGTTATTTGTAATCATTAATAAACTGTCAAAATATACCTTCTTATTCTAATGATATTGTAGCAGTTTTTCATTGCCTAAAAACACGGATCAAAAAGACATTTTCTAAAAATAAATCCTAGCTAGATCGATTTATTGCCCCCGAAACTCCCTGCACACAAATATATATATATACACACAAGAATTGCTCGTTTAAAGGTTTAGGATACTGTATGACACATAAAGTTAATATACATTTCGAACAAAATCTTCAAGAAACATATAAAGAAGTCAGTTCGATCAGTCAATCACTGTCTGAATCTAATTCATCTCTAGCATACAAAAATGAATGTATATTTATTCGTATTTCATTATGCGTTGCCATACCGTTTATCAGATTGCGGTAAAACTTTGTCAATTTATTGCTTGCACTTGCTTGAAGGTTAAGCATAGTACAATTAACTTACAGTAGGTGGTGCATATATCGTACCGACAAATTTATTTAAAAGTTATATATCATTCAACTTCAATGAATTCTTAATTAAACAATATAACTCTTTCAAATTTAAAACAATATTTTCACAATTATTTCTTCTGTGCAACGCAACGCGCCGGGTACTAGCCAGTACATAATTATAATATCTAATAATTAATACTACTTTTAAAGAAGTAATTACCCAAAATAAATCATGAAGTGGTTGAGGATCCAATATGCCCACTACGCCGTGATAAAAGGATAATCCGCTTCCAACACAGAAGATGCCCACTCCTGATATTAGAGAAGACACATACCTCATATTTGTATAACCATATGGATGGTCTGGATCTGCAATCTAAAATTAACAACATGTTATAAAGTACCAGAAATAGATCACAATTAAGAGAGTTTAGACTAAAAAACATCAAGTGTTCTTAAAAACGGCTATACAATGCAAGGAAAAAGTACCAACTTCTTCATCAACTTAACTTATATGTTCAAGACCTATATTCTGCTGATTGACGAAAATAGACTCTATTCTATCTAAATATGCCGAACTCAAATACCAAAGACCGTTAATGAGCAGTATTACAACTACGATGCTGCGCTTACTAACTCGCTTGCCTAGTAGGCACGGAAAATCTTTCGTAAAATACGTCATTAGGGCGCAATCACACTGGCGATTTGCAAGCGAGCTCGAGGGTGATAAAGCTATTAGTGGTAAGTTTACTAAAAAAGTACTACTAGCGTTCACTGCACAAACAATTCACAATGTGACTCAAAACGGTCCGTCTCAAAATTACAGGAGATTCGACTAAACGTAGTCCGTAAGTCACCATATTCGGCAGACCACGCGCCTTATTTATTTTTATGAATTTTTATAGGAGTAAATTTTTCACTAGGTATGTTGCGGCGGTAAAAAGCTTCTAGAAAATTCACTGATTGCCGTCCCCAGAACTTTATTGGAAGGAATGAAGATTGACTAATTGATCTTCCACTTAAGTAGGGTAACTGCTTCAACAAGAAATGGCCAATCAATACTAACATTAATTAATATTAATTCGTATTTAACATGTTATAGGCAACGCCACGAGTCATGGATGTGCGCAGAGGCATAAATAGATGTCGTGATCACGGTGAGGTGTGAGGTACGGGGAAGCGAAACCATAGCAACGGGCGACGAGCTACTCCCGCGTAGAGTATCCCTGCGTCCCGTCGCCCGCGTACCTTCTTGTGTCATCTTGTGTACTATCGATATCGAAAGTGTTAGCGACTACCTGTTATAAAATTTTAAATTATTGCGATTATTTCTGTTCTTTTAAAAATATTGTTCTATAATATTTTCAAATAGTGTGCAAATATTTATTACTTCATAAATTATTTTGGGACTATTTAAAATAGCGTAATTCGTAGTATATTGTATAAAGTTGTAAATATTTTGTTATTTTCTACAAGACGATTTTTTTTTGCAAATTATTGCATGTAAAATATCCTTATAATCGAAGACTATCGTATAGTATAGTTTAAACAGCAATTACAAATACAAAAATACAAATACAATATATTTTATTTGTTTAACTAAGTGTACATAAAATGCAGAATATTATTTAGAAGCAGTTAAAACCTAACGATGATATATAAATATATCGTTCCGTTTTCGTGGAGACTTTGATGTGTAGTTATAATGTTGACCTTTGACTTTTTACATATTGAAATGCCATAATAAAATTTTCATTTTTTTGCTTGATTGTACATGCGCAGTGGACTCTATTTAATTTCATCTTTCGTGGCGGGACCTATATCTTTACCATATGAATTTCTTCAAACAACTGATGAATAGGTACGTCTATTTGAAAATGCGATAAACTTATACAAGGTTATTTTTAATGAATAACGAAATTTTATATTTATATAAATAATGCTTCCATTATTGTAGTTTTTGAAAATACAAGTAAAGAAGGCTTCTATTTGAAATTATACTAAATTTAATGTGATTTATGGGCAACAATTACGCGTAAGTGCGCTCCTCTGTGTTGCGTTGCGATACAATTCACCACGTTTTTACCGACCGACTGACCCTTACGAATGTGCGTGCGTAGTATATAGTAGACGTTAGATATTTATGAATGACAATCAGTTAAAATAACGTATTCTGAATTTAAAAGATAAAAAGAACATAATGTTTGAGATTTATTTGAATTAATTTTTCTTCACCATTCGCCTATATTAATTATTGTAAACCCTCTCTGCAAATTTGGACGTATAATGCAAAATAACCCTGTAGTAAAACCAATATCTAAAAACATGCAAATTAAAAAGAAGGTAGAAACCAGCAAATTAGAAGAGGATTAGTAAGAACAGTGGCGTAATCTTCGCACTGAAGTTGCTGCCGTCACTAGTGTTTGGGATTTAGCTTAAGGATATAAGGTGTGTAAGTGTGCATGTTTAAAACTTATTCCTTAGTAAAGTATGGTAAGCTATACTTATTAGGGTATCAACTTGGTATATTCCCCTAACATATCGTAATACCTCCTGAATATTTATAATAACAATATAACCAATACATCTAAATATACCCACCTGAACAGATTTGTGTATTCCATAAGCAAGAATAACTTGATTTACTGTATCCGCTAGGGAGTGAATGCATTCAGAGAATAAACTATGTGATCCTGTATAAAACCAGGCGCAAAGTTTGAACAGAAAATTACATCCATTTCTGAAATGAAGAAAAGATTATGGTTTTATTTCCAGTTTTATTTTTATTTTATTTTACCATCTTCGGTTACTACACTAACATTCCAATTGCTGTAAGTACTACTCTTCCTGATCTTGTTTTTAACCCTAATTCTTCCACACCATGTTTCAAACGTTTATGACTCATTTCTCTTCTGTAATTTCTTAGTCTCCGTTTCACAGTGAAAACATCTGCAAAAAATTGATTGATATTATACAAAAAGAAATATAATATTTTAACAAAGCAGCTGAACAGATTAGTAAGCTGCTAAACCGACATTCGCGAATAGTTTGTACCGAATCCATCTCTTCACATTTATATTTTTGGTGCGATAGCATTAACTTTTGAAAAGTTTTATAACAAAATTATTTAGTTCTTGCAATTTTCAAACTCAAGCAGGCTTTACTTGTGGTAAACACGTATCTGTACATGTGTCAAAGTGTGCGTGAAAACAAAAGCGAGTATGGCTAGCGACAGCACGCTCGCAACCGATCACTCCCGTCAGACACGCACACTATCGTAATGTGCACAGTATACGTTCAACCATGAGTAAATCCCTCTGGACTTCGTGAATTGCATGAACTATACTAGAAACTAATCACACCTATAAAATTGTCAACACGGAATATTAATAATTTGATGTTTTCTGATTTTTTCCTTTGTATGTACTTAATGATGTATCTTGATGCCTTTTGAGATTCCAAGTCACCTTAGAAGTGGTCTGTTTTTGATAAGTCTTAGATAGAAATGGCACTTTTATCAGTTTTATCTGACACTGCGTCGCCATTTTCTCTTCAGAACTTTGCTGACAAACTTCGTGTGTCTAAATACTTATATGAGGATCGGCTAGTAAGTTGGCGGTTTGTAGTTCGTAAAGAAAAAAAGATAATATTAAATGATATAAATATACGTTTTTAAGCCAAGTAAATAAAGTTTTTTTATAGAAGAGGGGGCAAACGAGCATACGACTACCGCCGTTCATGAACAACCGCAACACCAGGAGAATTGCAGGTGCGTTGCCAGCCTTTTAGAAAAGAGCAATTTCTTTTCTTGAAGGACCCTAAGTCGTACCGGTCCGGAAAATCGCCGGTGGTAAACAATTCCATAGAGAAGTTGTACGAGGAAGAAAACCTCCAGTAAAACGCACAGTGGTAGACCGCCAAGCATTCAGATGATAAGGATGGTATCGTGAATTTTGACGCGATGTGCGTTCGTGAAATTTGGCGGCTGGAATTAATCCAAACAATTCCTCAGAACACTCCCCATGGTAGATGCGATAGAAAACGTAAAGGGATGGAATATCCCTACATAGCGCCAGTGAATTGAGCCGATTAGAAAGAATTAGAAAGAACCGCTCTGCGCTGGATGCAGTCAAGTGGAAGGATGTGGCACTGGGGTGCCCATTTGGCCTTCCCTTCCAAGTAATCACGAAACTGCACACTATTCGATATGTCGGCGATGAGAATTCCGATGCTAGCTGAGGCAGCAAGGGAAGTACCTTGAAACTGAGAAGATACCACAAAGAGGTTCTTTTTACGATAAACGCGCAAACTTGTGTCTCTTGGAGATTGAACTAGACTAGACTTAGTCGCCCCCAATCCGAGAATTTGTTCAGCAAAGACTCGACTTCAGACACAAGTATGTTCCGGTATTCGGTGACGTTTTCCCGAGAAATATTGCGACGGCCGGTGTATAAGGCATCACCAGTGCAACATGTCATTGATATGCAGAAGAAACAGCGTTGGTGATACCACACAGCCTTATGGAACACCGGCGTTAATAGGCTTGTAATCAGAGCATGCACCTTCTACTAGTAACTTGATGCTCCGATCAACAAGAAAACTGGTGGTCCAATTGCACAATTTCGAGTTTCGAAAGAAAAGCTTTGTGCTAGACACGATTGAAGGCCTTCTCTATGTCCAAACTAACGGTCAATGCCTCCCGCCTTGTGGGATCCTAATGGACTCCGTTTACTTTGGAGAACAAGGAGGTGATGGCGATAGGTGAGTACTTTTACGGGTCTGAACGGTCGCTGTTTTTAGTGAACCAAAGCTTTCTTCCATGACTTCGGGACTACGCCTTGGGAGTAGGAGTACCGGAAAAGACGCGTTGAAACCGATACCAACTCCGGTGCACACGTCTTCAGCACAATGGAAGGGACTTCATAAGGCCAATTCCAGGTCTCTCTCTCTCTCTGTGGGCGTGTGTGTGTGCACGCGCGCGCGCGTGTGTGTGTGTGTATGTGTGTGTATGTGTGCGTGCATGTGTGTGTTCGGGTGTGTGCGTGCGTGTCGATTTTTGTAACCTCTTATAACTTTTGAACGACTCGACCGATTGAAATGAACTAAGCGGATTTCCAAAGTCTTTCATCAAACTTAGATCTCAAATCTTCCGGAAGATTTTGGGAAATCTCAAAAATAAAAATTTTGAAAAACTGTTTTTTTTAATAACTTTTAAACGGCTTTACCGATTGATTCTAAAAACTAATAAGACCTTGAAAAACTACGTCGATTGCCGCTGGTCCGGTCAAAATCGGTTAAATCGTTCGTCAGATATCTTTAACGAAAAATTTTGAAAAAAAATTTTTTTTAAATTACTCTGATATTTAATATTCGACGTCATAATTTGGTGAAATTTGGAGCGCTTTGTATTTGAAATTAGCGGGAAGTTCCGGAGATGGCCTGCAGGGTCAACCAATTATTTAACTGTTAAATCGGAGTGTATGGCTGTAGCACGAATATCTCGCCCAGGTAAGGACCACACTCGCATAGAATACCAGCATGAAAGAACAGCACGTTTCGTATGGTGAGTGATAAGAATCGGAGGCACATTTTACTCGTAACGTTGGAAAATTCTATCTTAGACCTCAGGTTGAGGAATAGATTTGTTTATAGACCACAATCAACAGCGGTTTCAGTGAAGACCAGCCATCTGCACAGGGCAGAATTATAGTGCAAAAGTTAGTTTACACGAAAATACAGGTGTACTCTCTATTCCCTCTTTCTCAAAGTCCGCAATCCGATAAGATGGTTATGCTTATATTAAATTATTGTCCTATTTCAATATTACCTTCCCTCTTTAAAATCTTTGAAAAGATTATTAACTGTAAGCTAGTCAATTTATTGAAAGCAAATGAAATAATTTCAAATGCTTAAAATGGTTTTAGAAAGGGAAAGTCAACAAATGATGCTGTACACGCCTTAATAAGTTTTATTGGTGAGAAATTGGATAATAAAGGAACGCCTATTTTATTGACCTCCAAAAAGAGTTTGATACAGTCTCTTTCGCTAAGTTTTCTGAAAAACTAGAAATGATGGGCATAAGGGATAAACAGTTACTACTTCTTATGGATTATTTACATAATCGAACACAGAGTGTTCGGATAGGTAACATAGTAAGCGATGAACAACCCATTAGTCATTACATTAATGAACTTTGTAACTTAAATATAAAAAAATGTTAAATAATATTGTATGCCAATGATAGCACATTAACTTTTTATGGGGACTCATGGAAAGAAGTTTTTAATACTGCACAAGGTTTTAATACCGTTTGTCAGTGGCTAGCCATGAAATTACTTACATGTTGATGAAACCAAATATATTACGTTTTCGATTTGCAAATTACCAAAATATATTAACAATTATAAAATTATAGCTTATTCATGTTTTCAATTTCCTAGTTCAAACTGCAACTACTTTAATATAATAAATACACAAGAAGTTAAATACTTAGGTATAATAATAGATAACAATCTTAAATTCAAAGCACACATAATAAATTCAACCCAAAGTGTTAGAAAACTCACTTACATTTTTAAAAACTTATAACATGTCACAAATTGGACATTGCTAAAAACTGTTTATATATCCTTATGCCAATCTATATTAATCTACTGTATTACTGTTTGGTTCCAATAAAACACATATGCTTGAATTGGAAAGAGCTCAACAAATGATTTTAAAAGTTGCACTTTATAAACCAATTTTTTTTCTCAACTACCAGCTTATTCAGGGAATGGATCCACATGCAACACTCACTTCATGTCTAAGTATATTATCATCGATTTGTATGTAATAAAGCCAAGAGGGGGAGCCAGGAGACCCATAGCACAGGGTAACCTAGTTTGGGCTCCTGTCTCCCACAACAACTCAAAACTCTTAAACTATTTATGAAACAAATGTAACTGTGTAAAAAGTGGGAGAAATAAATGTTTATTATTATTATAACTTTTGTACGGCTTGACCGATTGAAATGAACTAAGCGTATTTCCAAAGTGTTTCATCAAACTTAGATGTCCTATGAATTTTAACTAATTTTGGACTGGTGGATTTAGAGAAATCTCAAAAATAAAAATTTTAAAAAACTGTTTTTTTTGGATAAATTTTTAAATGGCTTTACCGATTGATTCCAAAAACTAATCAGATTTTAACCTTGAAAAACCACGTCGATCACCGCCGGTCCAGTCAAAATCGGTTAAATCGTTCGTCAGAAATGTTTAACGAAAAATTTTGAAAAAAAATTTTTTTTTTAATTATTCTGATATTTAATATTCGACGTCATAATTTGGTGAAATTTGAAGCGCTTTGCATTTGAAATTAGCAGGAAGTTCGAGAGATGGCCTGCAGGGTCAACCAATTTATTAATGGATGTACAAGCCTACATGAATTGCCGCCATTTTATAATACATATAATATTTGAATTTTTCTCTTTTTAGCATACTTTTAAACTAGTTTGGTTTTTTAGTTACTGTTTTCATTGTTGAGTTTTTTCAGGTTATGTAAATGTTCCTACATTGGTTTATTTAAAATCACAGGCCTGTAATGGTAAATTCTTCAATACTTCCTGATGCTGTGAAGTGGTGAGCACCTTAGAAGCCAACCATGGGCGTCAAGCAGCAACAGCATGGTGCTCTACCATTCAATTCTGACTTAATTGCTAATGATAGGACCTGCTGGCAGTTTTATTTCTTGATATAGTTGGGGAGACCACTGTCAAAGATACTTTGACCATCGTCCAAAACTAGTTTCATACAAGCCAACCTCCATCACATTAAGATATTCCCTTTTATATTTATATAGATCATATATGTTTCCATCGCTATTAAGCATTTTAAACATACAAAATACTATTGAAGTAAATTAATAAGGGTATGTACATCTGAACGAGGCAATAAAAATTAATGAAATTATTTTTTTTTTCAAAATTCTTTTATACTGGGGTACCTCAAATATTAATAATACATAAAAGATATTGAACATACTTCATTCTCTCATCCATAGGCATCTTTTGACCATTATGCTATTACTAATTTAAAAAAAAATCACCACAAATTTTCATTTCAACAAATATATCTAAATAATAATAAACTTTATATTTTTTCTAACTCTTTTTTTGTATACTTATATAACTATAGTTTATAGTATGTAGTTTTAGGACCCAAAAGATAAAATTTGAACTTATACCTTGTTCATATCTTCTTCTATCCAATTCTCTTCTTAATAACTCTTTTTCCAATGCTTCTCTTGATCCCCACACCTTGAACATTCAATTTAAATATAAAACCAGATAGTAGACATTTTACTGATGTATAATAATAAAAAAGCTATTTACAAACCTCAACAGCTTTTGCTTCAACATCTTTGCGGTAATATACAGTTATTGGCGGTTCTGACTCATATGGCGATCTTCTAAGTACTTTTGGCAATGATTCCAAGTCAGACTGTTTCAGTAAATACTCAGTCATTGCACGCATTGGAGTTATAAAATTACGTTCAGTGTACGATGCCGAAAAATCTATTAATAATCTCTTCTTGACTAAAAAATGACAAATATAGTGTTGTTATTTCAAAGGTACAGATTCAAATTTAAAATATAAATATTGAACCAATGTTCAATACCTTGAGAAGCGACTGCCTGTTTTGAAGAAGAGGTAACTGTTTGTGGCTTCTCAATAGTAACTTTTGTAACCACATTATTTTCATTAGTTTCAGTCTTAATTTCAATTCCACTCATAGTTTTTGGTATACATAATTTGTCTTTACTTGTGTCTGGATGCTTTTCGTTATTTTTACCACTTGTTGTCTCTTTTTTTTCAAAAAAATATGTCGAAGTATTGAAATTCCGTTTAAAAACATTTTTCCCACGATGAAATAAAGAACTATTTTGTTGTATATTTCCAGTATTTCCCACACACAAATAACTTAATTTTTTTATATGAATAGACGTAGATCGTCTACCCATTTTTCTAAAAAAAATTGTAGCCGCTGAAGGCAGCATTCTCTTAGATTATAAACCGAAGTATATTCGAAAAGATACAAGCGCAAATATTTATGAGTTTCCTATTGATTGATAATACACATTTTTGCAATATAAATCTAAGAAAAAACGGTTTCTACATAAAGAATTCTAGCATTAGTTTAAGAAATATATATAATACATAACATTCCGATACAAATTACAAAAATAAGAATCAGTTGTCAGTGGGATAGTCGGTTTAATGTGACGTTTACTGTCATCCGATTTTCACATAAAACCGTAGACAAAGAAACCTATAGACTAATGATTAGCGTGGCCTCGAGTGAGAAAGGACGATAACGTAATTTTATATGTTATACAATAATCTTTATGACTTTTAAACACAATTAGATAAAAAATTTAATTGTTCTAAGAACTGAACTGAACAAGATTCACCAATCTTAAGCTCACAAAACACTTTTTTCTCACGTAAACCTACTTGTAAACTCCTTAGATCGTTACGAACTGTCAAAGTTGTTGTCAAAAAAACCGGCACGGAGAAAGGGACACACACCGCTCTGTCTCATTTCTATGCAAGACGTATGCATGAATCTATCTTTTTCGTGTGCGAATGCGAAAGAAGGCGTCAATTTGTCTATAGGTTTCTCTGTATACGCATAAAACCGACTGTCAGTTGTTTTTTTGTTGGCAAAAGAATCTACACTCATACTGCTTAGTTTTTTTTTGTATAGAATAAAGGGCGATAAAAGAATCATAGAATACTTTAATACACTGTGGCCGTAGAAGGAAAAAGGGAGATCTCCCGCCGGGCAAGGTGTTCTGCCCGGGGAGCGGCCGACACTCCGTGTGATAGCTCGGAGCTGTTCTATAAATACTGTTTATGATTCGGAATTTTGATAGCGCGATTTAGGCTTCGGGGTGTTACGACAGCGCCGCCACATCACCCCCCTGCTCAGACCGGAGGTCGATAGTGCAGCCTCGTTGCCGACGAATGTGCAAGTGCCAGGAGATTGCCTTGTAGTCTGCGGTGAGTCGAGAAGAAGGCAAGTAATCTGCGAGAGTGCCGTGAAGCAGAGGCGAGCAGTAAGGCCGTGCCGAACACTGTATAGCGCAGAGGGTAGCTTGATGGAACAGGAAGCATTATTATTCCAGTGCTGCGATGAACCTTGTGAAGCTAGCTGGCTTGCAGGATATGAAGACTGCAGACGATATCTGCTCGGGAGCGAATGGGTGGGGTATTTTATGACGATGATGAAGCTTGAAATTTCCGAAGGTTGTTGGTTGCGTGTTCAGATCACGTTGGTTGGTAACGACCGTGGCCGTAGAAGAAAAAGGGGAGATCTCCCGCCGGGCAAAGTGTTCTGCCCGGGAAGCGGCCGACACTCCGTGTGATAGTTCGGAGCTGTTCTATATATACTGTTTATGATTCGGAATTTTGATAGCGCGATTTAGGCTTCGGTGTGTTTCGTTTGTGGCGCGACGACAGCGCCGTCACAACACAATAGAATGGCTATCAACCTTGTATTGTACGAGGATCGGCGTCGCCGGGAGCACACATACAAGCAATTACGTCGTTTTATGTCCTCCAGACCAAATTTCGGCCACGGCGGCCTGCCTCAACGGACACTTGCATCAGCGCAGACAGATTATATGCCCAAGTGATGCACAAGCACAGGTGCACTCTCTATTCCCTCACTCTCATAACCCGATGACCCGGTAAACCGACACGACCGGAGAGAGGTCAGGCGCAGGACCAACGGCTTTACGTGCTTTCCGAGGCACGAGGGTGAGACACCGCCAACTTCCGGGCAACTACTAAGAATTTCTTGACGAAAAAACTTAATAATTAATTTTTTGCCTCGTTGGTCTAGTGATCTAGTGGTTATAGTAGTTCGACTACTGATCATGAAGTATTGGGTACGTCTTATTATTACTACTACAAACCCGATTCGCTGTGTTGACAGACTGAGCGAATTTACACATATTCGGCTTTTGATTAATGTTCACGATCATCATTAAAAAAATAAATCGTTTAAATTTTAATACATATTTATTTGTATATAGCGTGCAAACTAATCGTAAATACAATCGCAGTAAATATCATTTTTTCTTATTGTAAATAAAAAGTTGTTGAACATGTTTAAGATGCGTACCATCCACAGACCTCTATATATACGCGTACTTGTATATATAGAGGTCAGTGTTACCATCATATTAGTCTGTGCATTTAAGCAAACTGTGGTACCTAATATACGTTAGTACTCTTATTAGTTTGTGTACCTAATATAATTGTATCACCGCTTGAGATGTAGTCCTGTTTAGTGACTTACCGGTAACCGGTAAGCACCGGTAAAACTTGAGTTGAAACTTGAAATATTTATAAATTTTTGTTATTAATTTTGTTCAATTTTGTATTAAAAGATAAATACTAATTCACTTTGTAAAAGTGCAACGAAAACAATGTTTAGTATGTTCCAAATACACGAAGTTTATTAAAAGATCCAAAATTTTACTTCAAGAAATATAAGACAAAAACATAAGTTACTGCCAAAATGTATTAAAGATAGATATAAATATAGTTCGAATGATGTGTATGACAAATCCATACTTTACTATTATAATGTGAATATCTGTCTCAAAATTATATGGCTATACCGCTGAATCTATTTTTACAAAATTGATATAGTTTAATGCCTGGTTAAACTAAAAAAAAGACGTGTGGCACTCGGGGACTGCCGCGGTAAAGCTATTGCATAGCATTTTGTATCAACTTATGCAATTATAATTATTTATTTATTTTATTTATGCAGTATTTCTTTTTCTTTGATATTAATTCAAGTTACTTAGGTTAATCCAATCAAATTCAACCAGATTTAACCGAACCCGCGTTATAACGAACTCACTATTTGTGAAAAATACTGTATCACTGGACCGCGTCGCAAAAAACTCAGGTTCGCGCAGTACATACGTCAGGGCGGCCGTACGGCAATTATATTAACAAGACGCGCAACTACTCAGTTCCACGCTCCACGGCAAGATTTGTCACTTATTATTTATTGTCCAATTAATTGTCTTTAAGTTCAAATGGCACGCTCTATTAACATAAGTTTAAGACAAAACAAGGAGACTTTCAATATATGAACAACCCGGCTTCGCGTTTGTGTTAGTAAAATAAGCTCTTATTAAGTTAGCTTAGAGTTTAAATTAGTGTAAGCTATACGCAATCCTTGTGGCATAATGAATGTAGGTAGTATTTTATTGACTCCCATTGTCTCGACCGACGCGACGGTTGGACCGTAAACGGAAACAGATGACGCTTTCTAACGATAATGAACATAATATTATAACAGTCAATGGTTCATTATTCTAATGTGTTGTAAGATTAAAAATATATAATGAACTATATTATCTGTTGTATGTTATAACGCCCAACTTTAGGGGTGACCGACCGCGCGCACAGATGCAGCTAGCCTCCTCCTCCCGCACCTCACTAATCGTCGCTTCACACCGCTTGAGATAAGACGATCTACTATCAGGCGCTAACAAACCCCCGTCCCGGACATAAGGACCTATGTCCGCGAGTAAATTGGCAATTAGAAGACGCTTTGTATTGTTGGTTTTTACAAAAACGATCAACTGGACAAATGATATCTGGCCCTTTGCTTTGTGAAAAAGCATTACAGTTAAATAAAAAATTAGGTGACGGCGGCTCGTTTGTCGCAAGTAACGGATGGTTATATAGATTTATATCTCTTCATGGAATTTAATCAATGTTTATTAAAAAATAATAATTTCTTAATAAACATTGATTTTCGTTGAAATTGTTGTTTTTAATAAACACATAACATTATGTATATGTACCACAAATGCACAAAACCCGCTTTTCTTCATACATTCGATCATCCGGATTTTCGATTATCCGAATCCCTAACGGCAACAATTAGTCCGGTTAATCGAGTATATATATACATATTGAGAATCTAAATTGAGAATTTAAACTATACGCGTGTGTGTGTTTGTGTGTATATAAAGAGGGCTACTTTTAATATCGCTCATTTTAATATCAAAAATTTAGGTTATCTTTATAGCAGTATTATATTTTCAATTCAAAATTAGTACTGCATTTGTGATAATAATAAAATGTAGATATGTATATAGAGTACTCACTCATTTTCTTTCACTATTTTTTCGTGACTTTCTTCATTAATAATAAATGCACTTTGTTCATTCATATTCAAAATTTCAAAACACTTTATACACAAACACCGTGTCGAAGACTGAGGAAAAGAAACGACGTTAGACCATCGTTAGACAATGCAAGGCCTTCAAGCCACACCTCCGTGCCCGTCGGAGAGCGTGAGGTTTTTTTCGTTACGAAATTTCTGGATTTTCCCGCACTCAAGGCCCGCGATAGAAGCTATGCAAAAGCTTAAAAAGTGATATCACAACTAATCGGATCTCCAGGAATACTGCAAAAATGATTTATGGAAATGATTTATCAAAAAGTACCAATAGTAGTAAATAGTACAGTATAGGTAAGCCAACACAAGGCAAGCGCGAAATCAGATGAAAAAGTATGAGCATATATATATATTTTTAAATTTTAACACAAAATGGGTCCACCCAGCTCTTTGTGGGTAGTGAGGCGTGAGGTGAATATATAGTATATACTATATAGTAATGATACGTAATCAGAAGATTGAATCTAAAAACTTTATTGCAAATTTTTAATGTTATCCTATAGAGGGAACAAATTTAGAATTTGATATTTTTTTAAATTGAGTTTATTCGTAGGTCATTAAATCTGGGGGCACGGCAGTGCCCCCGCCAGGTCGAGCAAAAAAGTGGCATGGCCGATCATACTTTTCTCGAAGCAATTCAGGCCACTTTTGACCTATAACTTCATTGTGGATAAAACTAGAAACCTGAATTTTCAGAAACCAAGCAGGCGTTGTACAACAACTATTGTTTGTGCAAACCAAGTTTCCGCCAAGACTCGCTCCATAGATTATTGCCTTCCGCTGGTATTGGTACGTGCCGTACGTGTCAACATGCCGCTCGTACGATTTCCTAACTCTGACGAAGTAACACGTCGAAGTAACGAAATATGTAGTGAATTGAGATGTATTAAGTTCAAAGTAGTAATTACGTTAGTACTCTTATTAGTTTGTAGTAGTAATCAATGAATTGTTGGCCTTTGTTAGTAACAAGGTCGACACACTGCTGGAAACAGGAATGATACAAATTTGTATGAGTGCGTACTCTGCCGCTGTAATTAAGAACGCGAGATCAGTAGGTTAGTTGTCCATAAACTACTGGCGCCTACGAAGAAATACATGAGAAGAAAGGAGGAGGCTGAGCTAAAAAGCATTCAAGAAATGAAACTTATAAAAGAGTTTGACCCTGACTGCCTGCCAATTTTCGCAGCAAAAAACTTAAACAATCATCCGGCTGTATCCTTTGATCACGTCGATGTGACAACTTTTCTTAAAGAATTGACGTTACTTAAGAGTGACGTAGCCTGTTTTAAGGCTAAACAACCTGTAATAAGCAATGAAGTTAAATTATCAGAAGATATTGATTTAATACGGAAGGAGATTGATAATGTCAAAAAAATTACGTTGGAATTTCGAGAAGTTAACCATGGCAGTAGTAAACGACAAGACAATCTGTTTCTTGGGTCTTATCATAATGATAATGTTGCGCGCCTAAGTTGACGTCTGGTACCTGGCACTAGCGCCATCTAGTGTCGGGGAACAGAGCGAGGAGGACTTTCTAGAAAATGACATTCCTGAACTTTCCACCAACATCGCTATCTAGTATCGAACAGAAGAATTAAGCTTTCTAGAAGCCCCACACTCAAACTTTCTGCGCCTGGTCGGTCGGCGCCCGTATTTTCTGGAATGTAATGTAATTCAATAGGCAGTTTTAATTGTCATGAACCTTAAGCTGGTAACAATAAGAAGTTTAAAAACAAGTTAAATAATAGTCACGAGAATACTAACAATTTAAATGGGGGTATTGTTGAGCTCGATTTCGACATGCCCAGAACGGACGTAAAAAAACCATGTGAGGGAGAAATTACGTGCACGAGCTCTCTCTCTTTTGCGCAAACACTGTTGCCGTTATACAAGGATAGAAAGGTAACGTTATTGCAGAAATAACATAATCCTATTAGTGACACTGACACGCATTGTGTGCACCTATGGAGTTATAGCAAACACAACTCGTATGGAATTGAGTAAACGGAAAGAGGACGGAGGTTGTACGATTGTTACTAAAAAGAGAAAGTTATACATATATAGAAACGAGCGACGTACTTTACAAAACGCGAATAAATTACAGGATGCGGAATCATTGAAAATGATATTAGAGACCATGTAAAAGAAATGAAGGAAGAATGTATTGATCAAGTATTGACATTGAAATGTTGAAACAGGTACGAAGAGGATACACTTTAATTCCTTCAAAATTACTGCCTTAGCATCCAAAATTAACAATTTCTTAAAAAAGGTTTTTGGCCAGAGGGTTTAGTTTTTCGAAGATGAGAGACCTTAACCAGCGTTCTATTAACAGCGATACAGTGGTATCTAATAAATAACTATGGATGCACAAAATAAAAATAAAAGTAATTTAAGATTAGTTTCGTTTAACTGTAAATCAATTAAAAGGTGTTCAGCACGTTCGTGATTTGTGTGAGATATCAGATGTCATTCCTCTTCAAGTGACATGGCTGATCAAATTAACCAGGAATTTAGCTGCTATGCTAAATCCTCTGTGGATACGTCAGTAGGTGTGCTGCGAGGGAGAACCTACAGTGTGACGGCGCTGCTGTGGCGTACGAGTTTATTTACCAAAACGGAAATCGTGCAGTGTAACAATCACCGAATGGTGGCGATGCGACTAGATGAAGGTGATCGTAGCCTTCTTGTGTTTAGCGTATATATGCCTACTAATTGACCTATCAGAATTTATCCAGTGTCTAGCGAATATAAGTGCAGTGATTGAGAGTGCTGAGGTTGAATGCGTTTTGAGCTTAAGTGACTACAACGCGCATCCGGGTACTCTGTTTGGTAAGGAACTGATAGACTATTGTTGTGAACAGTCATTAACATGTATAGACTTAGAGTGACCATATTATAACACGTACACATTTATGAGTGAAGCGCATGATATATGTCGGTGGCTTCATTTCTGTTTACTACTGCTGCTGCAGCCAGTGTAGTAACCGATCTATATGTGAAGTATGACTCATTTTGGTCAGATCATGTAACTCTAGTTATTAATTGTAACCGTAGTTTTATTAGAGTTGAAGAAATTCACTATGAGTCGAACCTAAATATAATGCAAAGGTTTCATGGGGGCATATGGAGCTTGAATAAAGAAAAATGTATTCAATTTTGAATATATTTTTTCTTTGTTCAAGCTCAAAAATTTGTGATGGAAAACTTAATGAGATAATGAGTAATTGTAAAAATGTAAATATGGAATCTATGGATGTAAGACAGTCGTGTGAAAATCGTATCATTGTTAATATATGGACGGTTTATATTGTGATATTATAAGTGTGTTACAAGTAGCAGCAGAGCGTAGCTTTAATATGAATGATAAAAGAAAAAAATGTGTGCAATTCACACGCGGTAGAAGTGAAACCTTCAAATGAAATGAAATGTCAATCATTTTCAACCACAAGTGCGGCAAAAATATAAGATAAAAGTCTCATTTTATAGCAAATAAATGAATATGTGACTTTAATTTCTTTTTTCAAATAAAAATGCTTTGTAATAGCGACATCTACTTAATTCTATTGGTAAAGTCATTTTATCGAACAAAAATTGATTAACTCTCAAAGTGGTACATAAGATAGGCGTTAGATGATATAAACACGAATAATTTAATATAAATTGATAAGTTATGAAATCGTTGATTGTAATGAAGGGATTGATTAAGATTTCATTCATCACCATATTTTATTTATTTAACAAATTTGTTAATTTTTAGCGGTTTATTTTAACAGTTAAAATATATATTAACTATCTTTAAAGCACCTCACAAAGAGGAAACCGAAATAATAAGAAACCCTTTTTTAAACACTGGCAATGCTATTAACATTACTACAATTCTCACTCGAATGATAGATTCGAACCCACAAGCTTTTGAGTTCGCTGTCCGCACATTGTCATTAGGCTACTTAACCACTTTTACTTACTACACTGTATACTATCCCATTATCCCTTAGACTAAATCCCATAGATATATACGTTTGTCTTTTTTACTGTCGCTTTTTCGTTTCATCCAGTTTAAAGTCACAACGATGCTAAAGAAGTTTTCACTTCAAAAGGGCAAAGGATTGTGGAGTGGAATTTTCACGTCAGGCATACCCGTGTCAAAGCCAGAGAAAATTTTTTAATGTGGAAAGAATATGGTAGGCCATCTTTGGGATATTTTTTCGAAAATATGGTTACCTCGCGTAGAGAGTTTATAGCCGTGCTTAAGTACGTTCAAAATAATCAGGACATAATAAAAATGGAAGTGTTGGCCCGACACCGAAATGTTGGTAAATTTAATGAATTTTGCAGAGAAATAAAAAGTTAGAACATAAAAAGTATTTGCCGTTAAGTGGAGACATAAGTAAAAAAATATAGAAAATATATTATAAATCAGTTTAATCTTGTACAGGATAAATATAGGACATGTCAGTGATGCAAAACTCACCGTGTAACAGTTACGCCGAAACAGTTAGAGTAACTTTTGAGCTTTTGACTAACATGAAGCTTGGTAAGTCTCCGATTCATGACGGTCTTAGTATAGAGTATCTGTTATATGCGGGCCAGCATATCTGTGAAGTGTTAGCGCATTTTTTCAACCTCTGTGTGAGACATTGTTATTCACCTAAGGAACTTATTCGTACGGTAGTTTCTCCTATTATGAAAAGTAAAACGTACTTGAACGAGTTTTACAGTTATAATTAAATTCCATAAATTATGATGATGGGCAGTTTGTTTTTCGTCCGAATGTATCGACAGATATGGCTATATTTTCTCTAAAGCAGGTTATGGGTTTTTATAAATAGCGGAACATTACTGTGTACTTGTTTCCTTGATTTGAGTCGTATCTTTAATACAATTAGTCATGAAATACTGTGGAAATAGCTCCACGATACTAGCACAGGTGTCCCGGCTGAGGTTGTTGATCTCCTAGCGTTTTAGTACGGTAACCAGACCTACAACGTTAGGTGGGGTTGTGAAATATCGAACTGCTATAGGATTTCTTGTAGGGTGAGACAGGGACCTGATTTTTTCAATACCTATATGAAAGATTTAATCGTGGAGCTCAGCAGATCGTCGGTAGGACTCAGACTGAACGACAGATATGTTAACAGCCTGAGCTATGCTGAAGATATGGTTCTGCTCAGTCCCTCGATTAAAGGCTTGAAAAATTTATTGAAATCTGTGAAACATATGCGCAAGAACATTACTTGACTTATAACTCCAAAAAGACAGAAATAATGATTTTCAGATTAGAAATGGTACCTCAGAGCGTGTCGGAGATTCGTCCCAATGGAAAATCTATTAAGATAGTAGACAAATTCAAGTATCTTGACCATATTGTTACTTCAGTCTTAAAAGATGACACTGATATAGAACGTCAACGTAGATCTCTGAGTGTAGTAGGCAATATGATTGCGTGAAAATTCTACAAGGCGTCGCTTAGACCTAGACGTCTTATGACGTTTTACACGTGTCAACTCTGGGTTGACTATACCAAGAAGACATATAATAGCGTACGGATAATTTATAATAGTATTTTTAGACTTCTAATGGATTTAATCGCTATTGAAATGTACGTGAAAACCCGGGTTGACCCTTATAATGCAGTCCATCGAAAGAGGACAGCATCATTTATGTCCAGAGTTGACTTGTGTTCTTGTGTAACATCGCTATTGTGCGTAGTTTGGCAGATACATACTGACTGCAACGTGAATTGAAAATATTGCAACATTTTTCGTTTATTCTTGCTATATTATATTATTCATTTTTCTTTTAAATTAGGATCTCTGTGTCTGCAATAAAGGGTTATTATTATTAGGCGCCTGATGAACTTGACTGTCGTCATCGATTGTCCGTTGGGTTGGGTTGGCGTCAAAATCTCCCAAAAACTTCGTAATGTGACCCATCAGTATACTGTGGAGAAAAAAATATATAAAATGAAGATCCCAAAGTCTCAAATAAAATGAATCGGTGCTCAAAAGACCAGCATCAAATCAAATCAATCAATCAAGACAAATAAAAAATCAGTTAAAGTCAATAAGTAGTTATATACTCTTTGGTCACAGAGCATAGATGAAAAGTTTTTGACAGATAGTTTTGACATTTCTTTTTAATTCGGCAAGTATTCGATGAGGTGTGTTTATAAGTTTTAATCTTAAAAAATCACATAAACTCGAATTATGTTACGATTATTGTTCAAAAATCATTAAGTAGTGTTACGTGTTGTTCGTATAAAAAGGGTTATTTTTACTTTTTCCTATTATTTATTTCAGGTAATAATGGCTAAGCCAAAGGGCGAGAGAAAAGGTAAATCCGCGATAAACGAAGTTGTTACCCGTGAATATACGGTGAATTTACATAAACGCCTTCATGGAGTTGGATTTAAGAAACGGGCTCCACGAGCTATTAAGGAAATTCGAAAGTTTGCCGAAAAACAAATGGGTACC